TTATCCTGCTCCTGTGCAAAGAACTGAGATACCTGTGATGGAGTTTAATAACTGTGTATCATAGCTACCATGCGAGAAGTGGTGCTAATGGAGTTAGCAGAGAGGAAATGTATCTCACTTGCAACAGAAAGAAGTGCAATATTAGGTCTTTTCACAGTAGCATCTTATTTTGCAAAAACACCAAATTTAAGTGGACTAAGAGTTTTGAAAAGAAACTTGAGCAATAAATATCCAGTTCTGAACATGTAAAAGCATTTGATGCATTGCAATATATTTTATATATATGCAGACTTTAAAATATATTGACATGTATTTTGCATATCTCTAGCCAAATTCTGTGTTTTGTATTGCACTTGGAATTGGGCAAAATTCTTTCAACTTCAGGGAGATATGCATTAATAAGTATTGAGTAATAAAGGTGAAGGTCTCCTGGTTTGTTCTGCATGCAACTAGCCTATTTCACTTCTCAAATGTGTTTCTAAGCCTGGCATTTTGGGCTAAATGTCTGTAGAGTACCAGGAAGATAACAGGTCCTGCAGTGGCTGACCCACTGTTTCGCTGGTTGGTGATTAGTATCAGGGTGACAGGCAGCTTGTGTGTATTCCTGGAAAAGTCTCCTATTCCTGTCCTTTAGTCACCAGCAGCATATGGGAATGCTAGAGGCAGTAAATTCTCTTTTAAGTAGCTGATGTTCTTTGAAAGTTCCTGCAGTGAATCTCTCTGACAAAGTTAGTTTTTACAGTGAGTACCTCTGTGGTAAGTTCCGTTTTCCTTCTGCTAGAAGGAAGATCATCCTAATTAACAATTCTCAGAAAAGTAATGTATCATTTAGATGATCTAGAGAAATCCTGAATTTATTCAGATCAATGGCAAAAATCCTGTTGACTTAAAAGGGAATACATTTTTCATTTATGATTTTCATAGAAGGGCCTAGGATATGGAAAGATGAAGGGAGTATGTCTCTCAACGATTGGTTTCTTCTAATAGTCTATCTGTATTTTATCTATAAAAGCTATATAAGATGGGAATATTAAGAACATCTGAAGTATGTTGAACAAAATCCTCATGCTGCAATATCCCTGGATGCTGTGACTTTTAACTTCTGTAGGCACCCCCAAATTTCATACTTCTTTTCCTGTAACTGGTTCATCGCTTCTCTTCCCCCCTAAATTTCCTGATACTAACACTTGCCAGTTACCAAGTTTCTTGAAACATGCTTAAAAATTTTGGAGTTCAGTTTTGTGGCATATCTCTAATCAGTAGCCAGGAGACTTTTATGCAGTCAGAAGTAGATATTAAAGATTAAGTAAAGAGTCTGTTCATATCTGATTACTTCAGCAAACATGTGAAGAAGGACACTGAACAAAGTTCATAATTACAGGCTTCGTTGCTGGTGAGTAGTTCTATAGTTTTGCTAGACTTGGTATGATATAAGTAAAATTGGTCTTTTTTGAGAAAAGTAATACATTCTTAAGGAATTACTCAAATTATTATTTTTAACTTCTGGGAGTTGTAAATGGCAGCCCATGGCAGAAATGCTATGTAAGTAGCATTTCTTAGAAGCAAATAGGTTAAACAAACTAGTATAACCTAGCTAATATAAACACTACTCTGATACAAATAATAAGCATCAGGTGAGACTACGTCCCATTGTGATGCACAGACATACAGGAACAGACAATTTCTGCCTGGTGAGAGTTTGTAATCCGAGAAAGGCTAGAGAGGAAAGGGATAATATGTTCATTTTATAAACAGAGAAGGGAGGCGTAGAGAAATTAAAGATAATTTTTTTCAAATATCCCTAGGGCCAGGCTGTAAAATTTAGGTACTTACTGACAAAGTTGGACAGTTAGCACTTTGAAAATTTCACTAGGCAGTTAAATGCTTAACTTCCATTACAGTAAGACCTGAATTTCTAAGTCACCTATAAAAATTGTCTAAATCTGGATCTGTAGGTCTAGGCTAAGCTGAGCCTTTCAGATAATTAGGCCAATATTTCACTGAACATCTGGACAATAATGAGTGGAACAAAACCAAAGTATCAAAAAAAAAAAAGCCTATCTTTCATCTAAAGTCAATTGTACACTGCTTTTCATGTGCTTAAGCTACACTTTAAAAATAAGGCACAGTCTCCTGATTTATTTAAAAGTTTTTGCAAGGTTTTGTTAGTGATAGTGGCCAGACAGAAGTGTGTTAGCAAAGTTTTATATCAGATCTCCTGAATTCTAGACCTTCATCCTAAACACAAAAACTTTATATTACTGAGAATCCAACTGCATTTTACATACATATTGGAGTTCCAGTATTAGATATTACAGTTGCGCATCAAAGATAAAGACAGATAGCAGCTAGCATGCAAATGCTGTTTCCAAAGAGAATAAAGCCCTTTTGAAGGCAGTAGAAACTGTCAAAGTTAAATTAAAAATTAAAAATCCATTCTGTGGGCTGCAGAGATGCTAGGCTGCCTGACAGCCACAGAACCAGGAAGTTTTAAAACCCGCTCAAATGCAATAGTTATCCACACTCGCTGTGCTTCCCCCTCGACCCCAATCAACTTTTATGCCACAGTGACATATAATCACTGTACCTATAAACTGTTCATCTTGGTCATAAGGAAAAAAAACCTCCTTGCAACTGTTTTTTTAAACATCTCAAATTATCAAGTATTCAGCTTGCTTATGCCTTAACAGGTAATATATCGGTGTAAAAATGATAGACTTTCTCAATTTTTTAATAATTTATGATGTATGATAACATACTGCTGCATGTTAGTCACTCAAAATGAAGATTGATATGGCCTTCAACATGAAAAAACACTGGCTACAGTCACAAGCAGCATTTCAATAAATTATTACGTGCATTAAATGTAGGTCTTGGAATCTGGAAGTGAGGTAAAGTGGGGTTATTTGTGTTGTTCGGGGTTTTTTTTGAAAGCACTGCAGTACCATAGAAAAATATCAAGGATGTTAAGAAGGACGATGGATAATACCTGCCTCTCTCCATGTCCGTCCACCCTTCCTCCACATTTATGCCCCCACTGTGCAGTAACTGACATTCCTGAGTGTCTTTGTTGGGATTCTTTCCTGTTTTACTGACCTTCCCTGTCAAAAAGAAACAGTATAGTAATAAATGACAATACTTCCATTGTCATAAGCAATTTACTGCCATATACCTTACAGAAGTTTGGAAGTCAGATTTTTATTGCTTGCTGCTGCCTGTATTAGTTCTCAGCTTGCCTGAATAAGAGATTATGACAAAATCTTTCTGTAATTAAGCAAAACCTTAAAGCTATACATTGCTTGAATTTGAAAAGGAGCAATGCCTTTATCACTGTCATGCATTGAGTCAAAACCTGTTTGGGAACAGCTCTGAATTGTAAAGTGGGGTTTAAAATTGGGATCAGAATTTTGAAGTTTATTTTTAAGTAATGTGAGGTTATTTTCATAGGGTGCCATCACAATTCATATTATAGAGCATGCAATCAAGCTGTATAAAAGCAATAGACTACTGTTGTCCTACAGTAGGGTGACAGGCCTTACGGACAGGCAAACCCAGCATTTTATGATTATTTTATTAAGTTTTTTCATAGTGCTTCACGTGACATTCAGAAGAAATGAGCTACAATGAGATACAGATGTGACTGAATAATCTTACATGTAGAGCAAAAATTTTGGTACATTATTGCATATAGGTTTTAATATTTCTTGGACTTATGTGGCCTGGAAAGACACTGTGTTGACAGATGAGATGTTCCTAATGTACTTGCATGGTCCTCCTCATTGCAGCATTTTAATTTTAACCAGAATTTTAATCAGCAAAATGATTAAGCAGTGATATCCTGTTGATTTCAATGGGAGTTAGATGTCTAAACAGGAATTAGTCAGAGCCTCTGTACTTGAGTAAGTACTTCTTTTCCATTCAACCAGGAAGTAGTACAGTCTCTTGAGACCGGTTTCCAGACAAAGGGAGTTCAGACAGAAATCGGAGCTTCTGGTCGCTTATTGAACTCCTTCCGTCCTCTGTGTTCTCTCCCCTTGAATAAGCAATATGAGCTGCATCTCTCACTTGCATGGCTTAACGTTGTCTGCAGTCGGCTTTGGCTAATATGACTGTCACGCAGGACATTGCTGGAAGAGCTGAACAAATAAACTGGACTTCACGAAACAATCAGATTTAACTATCACTGTGATGCACACTTTCTGAAACTTGCTAACTCATTCTGTAACATAAAGCAATTCACATGTTGACTGAAAAAAAAGCTAAAAATCTCTTCAATGACATATTCTTTACTCCTTATTTTTATTATTATTTAAAAAGTTACGTATTTCATAGTAATACCTACTCACCCTATGGTAAAATGTCTTTAACTTCCATATATAAACTTTCTAAAAATCTGAAATTCTACTCAAAGGTTTTAGAGTCCTAAGAGCAGCCTCTGCTGATGCCTAAGGAAATTGTTTCTCTATTTTTCCAGGAGAGAGAACAGTTTTCATAGTATATCCCTAAGAAGTTTGCAAGAACTGTTCAGTTGATGTTTGTACGGCACTTGGAAAAATAGACAAGGCTTCACAGATTATAAATTTAAAGTGACTGTGATCAGGATTAAAAATATTGGATACCATGAGCAATACAGCTAAAACCACAATGGTCTTACGGTCCAACAATAGTCTTGTGGTACTCTACAAAAATTTCTGAAGCTCCTTCTTAAAATGTCCCTGTCCCTTTCCCCTCCATCATAAATTTGAATACTGATCTGTAACTCGAACCGTATCTCGTTTTTGTGACGGCATTATCTTTTCGCTCAAATAGCTAGTTGGCCCAGGCCAACAGTTTCCCAGGCCGCATTAGCAGGAGCGTAGCCAGTCGGTTGAGGGGAAGTGACGATCCCCTTTGCTTGGCACTGGTTGGATCACATCGAGACGCCGTGCCCAGTTCTGACCCCCCTAATACAAGAAAGGCACCAACAAGCTGGAGCGAATTCAGCAGAGGAGATCATCGAGATGGGGCCAGGCTCTTCGCTGCGGCACGTGGTGCGAGGCCAAGGGACAACGGGTGTGTGTTGAAGCAGGAGAGGTTCAGACTAGACATACGGAGCAGCGTTTTCCCCGTGGGGACACTGGACCTGAGGCACAGGCTGCCCAGGGAGGCTGTGCGTCTTCCATCCTCGGAGGTTTCCAGGACCCGACCGGACAAAGCCCCGAGCCACCCCGGCCGACTCCGGCCGACGCCGCTTTGAGCAGCGAGCTGGACTGGAGACC